AAACCAATTTGTTCTGTAAGCGTCCACTCAAATCACAATAAAAATTAATTTTGAAAGAAGAAGAAAATCTCTAGGGAGCAGAGCTCCTGTGGCACACAGAGGGTTGCCTTGAGTGGAAACCAGCTCAGTGGTTATTGGTTTTTATTGGTCTTGAATAGGTTACTTCAGCATCTCTGGTTTCTCTTTTCTACAATCAGGGAACATAAGTGTTATCTATCTTATAAAACCATTGGGAGGATCAAATGAAGTTAATGTATAACTTGTAGCAGTCTCTGGCACACAGTAAACACGAGTTACTGGTATTAAATGGGTGGAAACCAGCTCAAACCAAACCCACAGTTGTTAAAGTGGATTCTCATAGCAATAGGACAGGGCAGGACTGACCCATGGGGTTTCCAAAGCTGTATCATTCTCATGCAGAATGGCTAGTGAGTTCCAACCACCGACCTTTGGGTTCACACCCAAGTGTTTTAGCCTTGGTGCCACCAAAGTTCACAAGAGGTGTCTCCCAGCTCCAAGTCAGGCACCACCTATCTGGAACCCAGGTCTCCTCACTCCTAATCCGTATTTACAGTCTACCTGAAACCTGGAACTGGCATGGTCAGAAAAGTCTGACACTCTAGCGGGACCCCTACATTCCCTTCTGTGCATCAGGACATTTTAGAGGGGGGTGGGTACTGTAACAACTGTTGTGTAGGGTCCGAGGAGGACAGCCAGGATGGTCAGACTGTGGCTGTGTAGCTGGCACTGGTTGGAAAACCGCTCTTCCCTGCCCTGTAGGAAGTATGGTAGAAGAGTGATGGATTGAATGGTGTAAAAATATGTATTGCAATCCTAACTCTTGGTAGTGGTTATGTGCTGTGGAGTCAGTTCCGACCCATAGTGACCCTGCACAGGGATTGCAAAGCTGTAAATCTTTATGGGAGCAGAACGTCTCATCTTTCTCCCACGGAACCACTGGTAGTTTCAAACTGCTGACCTTGAGGTTAGCAACCCGACTCATAACCACTACGCTACCAGAGTGCCTTCCTAACTCTTACACCCATAAAAAAGAAAATAAGGATTTTTCTTGAATCCTGTGTGGCGCTTGGATTAGTGCGCTGAACTGCCATGTCAGCTTGAACGTCAAGGTCGGCAGTTCAAGCTCACCAGTCACACCTTGGAAACCCTATATAGGATTGCTATGGATTGGACCTGATGGCATTTAGCAATATTCAGGTCATATCTGTGTAAGGGTGGGTCCTAGAGCTAACCACTTCTGAGTTATAAAATGACCAGGATAGACACAGAGACACACAGGGGGAAAGCAGGTTTTGTGTGAGGGCCCATCTACAAGCAAAGGAGTGCCAAAGGCTACCGGCAGGCAAACGCCAGAAACTAGGAGAGAGGCCCAGAGAAGGAACTGACCTGATCTAAACCTTGATTTGGACTTTCAGTCTCCAGAAGCACGGGAAAATACATTTCTCTCTTTAAAGCCTTGTGGGATTTCTGTGGCAGTGATACTGTAGGACCAAGATAAAGGACATTAAGAACAGGCAGGCAGCAGGCTGGACATCCTGGAGAGAGGGGGGCTTTCCGCAGATCACATTTCACTGGTAGTGCAGGATGCTAGGATAGCAAATGAGCCACCACAGTTCTCAGCCCTGGTTTGGAACAGCTGGGAGAGCAGGGCAACTGTTTTGAAATGCAATCTGGGATTAAGGTGAAAGGATTGCTGGGAGGAAAGTTCTACTGCATGGCTGCCTTCACCTCAGCAGATCAAAAATGACCTCAGCCAAGTGGGGGGACCCGGGTCCACAGGCTCCCGCTCCACACAAGTGCTCATCCCCATTTTTCTCCAAGTCTGGGCGCCCACCCGTATCCCCGATAGCAGGAAATAGGGAATGATCAGGGTGAATGAATCAAAAGAAACAAATAAAAGGAGGCAAGAGAAAAGGTGTTGGCATTAAGTGCTGTTGAGTGGGTTCCGAATCATAGCAACCCTGTAGAGGGTTTCCAAGGAGCAGCTGGTGGGTTTGAACTGCCAACCTTGTGTTTCGCAGTCCAGTGTTGATCCTATAGTGCCACACCAGGAGACCAAGAAAAGGTGGTGATGGTTTTGTGCTATGGAGTCGATTTTGACTCATAGCAACCCTGTACAGGGTCCTAGACTGTAAATCTTTCTGGGAGTAGAAAGCCTCATCTTTCTCCTGTGGAACGGCTGGTAGTCTCCAACTGAGAGACCAGAGCCTCTAAGAAAAAGTGGTGGTATTGTGTCTTGGAGTCCGTAGAGACCCTGTTTAGGGTTTCCAAGGGAGCAGAAAGCCTCATCTTTCTTCTGCGGAACATCTGATAGTTTCGAACTGCTGATCTTGAGGTTCGCAGCCCGACTTGTAACCACTATGCTTCCAGAGCTCCTAAGAAAAGGTTGTTATTAAATGCCATTGAGTCGATTCTGACCCACAGCAACCCTGTATAAGTTTCTGAGGAGCAGCTGGTGAGCTTGAACCACTGGCCTTGTGGTTCAGTGACATTGCAGTCCAGCGCATTAGCTCAGAGTACCACACCAGTGGCATTTAAACATGACCTTGAAATGAACATCAACTATGAAAATTGGATGCAAAGGACCTTCAAGTGTGCAGGTTACTTCCCAAGCATTCCTCACGGGCCAGGTGTAGAAATTTGAAAAACATCAAGGCCACTGGTTACAGTTTTCCCTAAATGGCTGCCATGACTTAAATGCCCACGTCAGTCAGCATCCTGTGGTTCCAGGATCACTCCAGCTGCTCAGCTTCCTTTCTGAATCGGCACCATTAAAAAAAAAAAAAAAGTTGGGTGCGAAGGGACAACACTAGATACAAACAGAAAACAATTGTGACAACTGCCTCGGACCCTCCAGGAAGAAGAACGTTGTAAGGAGTAAGCGTTTATGGAAACACATTGATGTGGGACTGCCTTTGGGGTTGCCTCATGTTTTCTTCTTGAGCTCTGCTCTGTCTCACTTCCTGGGATCCTGATTCTCCAATAGGCAAAGGCCCAGGACCTTCAGATAGATGTGTGAGGCCAATCAAAGGTTCCTACTGCTTTGACTCTCTCCCATGGTCTGATTTATGTTGGTTCCTCTTTCTGCATCGAAACTCCTGTTCCCAGAAGTGGATTCCTTTAATCAGGTTGTTATCTGACCACACAACACCCAGTTGCCACAGGTGGCTCCTGACCTCCACCCTCTGCTTATCTTGGTAACTCTGTGGGAAGCATTTGCTTGTATTCAAAATGGATTTGTAGTTCCATGTTTCTCAAATTACATTACACTGAGCAAAATATGACTTCTGATGTGATAGTTCTGGATGGGTCCAGAAATCTTACTGTCCCCCAAAAGTAGTTGTGATGGAGGTGGGATTTGAGTGTTGAGGAGCTGTGTCCTATTGGGTGTGGTATTAGAAGATTCTAGAAGATATGTTGGGAAGACGGTGGAAGGACAAGAGGGGTGTCGGGAGAGGTCTCATAGTAACTTCCTGTGTCTTAGTTCTCCCTTCAACAAGGATGGGGCAAAACCTTCAACTAAGGTGGGAGTGGGAAGGGGGAGAAAAGAAAAAAGTAAGGCTCTCATTTCTTGGATGTCTTTTGTGTGCACTCTGTCTGTACTTCCTTACCTGAGCTCTAGTCTTAAGCTCACCCATCAAAAGCCCTCATCCTCCAGGAAGTCAGAAATGTGGCCCATCTGGGCATGAGAGAACAGGGGCCATTTCTGTTTTGCTTCTATTTCTCCTTCTTTCAAGGGTTGACTTCAACTCCTCTAGGTTAGACCTTACACCCCTGCGTATCCTTAACTACATTTGGGGGTATGGATATAAAACAAGCTCCTCGGCTCAAGATTTGGATTCAGGAGACTGGAAACTTTTTTTATTGTTCTGTGCTGTTGAGTTGGTTTCAAATCATAGTGACTCTGTATAGGGTTTCCGAGGAACTGTGGATGGGTTTGAACTGCCGACCTTGTGGCAAGCAGTCCAGTGCTTATCCTACAGTGCCACACCAGGACCCTGTAGGGCCTGGGAATCTGCTTTTTAAACACCACAGGCAACTCCAAAGCTTTGCAGGGAAGTATGAGGTATTGAAGGCCCAGCTTCAGAACCATTATGACCAGCTGCTCTCTGACTAGATGGGCTTGCTGGACTAGGGATGAGCCTATGAGTCCAGTACTAAAGTCCAAATGCCATGCGTACACATTGTCTTCACCATCCTGCGGGCACTGGTAGTGTAGTGGTTTACGAGTTGGACTGCTAACCTCAAGGTCAACAGTTCGAAACTACCAGCCATCCCGTGGGGAAAAGATGAGGCTATCTGCTCCCATAAAGATTTATAGCCTTGGAAACCCCCCTATACAGGGTCACTATGAGTCAGAATCGACTCCACGGCACACCACCACCACCATCCTGCGACCTTGGGTAGACTCCATTCCATCCTGACTGCCACTGCCCACAAAGATAATGAAGCTGGCTATCCATGCTGGGGGTGGGGGTGGGGGTCTTTGAGCAAGGTCAAATGAAGGAATATCTAGACACAGGTTAATCAGGGGGGAGCTTCACTTTGAGAGTTGTGTCTAAGTTCTGAGCTTTAGTCCCCGGAGCTATTTTCATGCCTTGCTGCCTTCCTCCCAAAGAACCTGAGCTCAGAGGAAATGCCATCATCGGACTGAACGGGGATGGGTTGTGCGAGACCTCCTATGAATGGGTTAACATAGTGGGTGAGGAGGAGAGCAAGCAAGCACTAGAACTACAGGGAAGTGGCTGGGTGGTGTGACAGCAAGAACAAAGGCTGCGGTATAGATGGTTATGGCCAGATCCCACTTTAGAGTAACCACAGCTGCTATTAAGACCCTCAAGCATGCCATCAGGGCTTTACAACACTGCACAATGACTGAACCCTGCCCTATCATCAGTGGGGAGGGGAGTGGCGAGGACACCAAAGGGGCTGAAATTTCAGCTGCTGCCAGGCCTTCTGGAGCCCCATCCCACTCCCAGAATAGCTCGGCCAGCTTCCCGGCAGCCTCCAGCTACACCACAGCTGGGCTTCCGGCAGTGGAGACCTCGCAAGCCCCAAGCTGGGCAGGGAACAGCTGGGACTGGGCCCCGCCTAGAAGCCAAGCTGCCTGGCCCTGCCTTGCTGGAGGCACCACCTCTGCTAGGCAACTCTGAGCCCCTGTGGTACCATGTCCTGTCTGGGCTCAAAGTGAGTATGACCTGAGAGGGCCAAGAGGCCACATGCCAAAGAACAGGGACAAAGAAGGGACAGTGATGGAGAGGCCCAGCCGAGCCGACTGTGGAGGTTGGCTGCTATTGCTGGCCTAACAAGAGTGGCTACTTGCACAGTCTCCTCAGAAGACTTGGGCTGACCCACACATTCCTCATCTTTGAACTCCACTCACAGTATCCATGGAGTCCCCACTATGGGCAGAAAGGCGCCTGAGAGCCACAAATGGTTAAGTGATGGGCTATCAGCCTGGGCGTTTTGGTGTGGCATTATAGGATCAGCACTGAATTGCTTACCTCAACGTTGGCAGTTCAAACCCACTAGCAGGTCCTTAGAAACCCTACTCAGGGTCCCTGTGAGTTAAAATTGGCTCGACAACACTTAACAACAAAAACAACAAGCTTAAAGGTTGGCATTTCAAACTTACCTAGTGGTGCTGCAGAATAAAGGGCTGGTGATCTTTCTCCGCAAAGATCACAACCAAGAAAGCCCTGTGGAGTAGTTATACTCTGTACCACAAGGGGTCGCCAAGAGTCAGAACGGACTCAGCAGTGACAGGTGTGTGGGTTTACTATGGATGGGCAAGGCACCATGGGCAAGCATCAAGACGCATCAGGTATACATCTTTCTCTTAGAGCTTTGGTCACTGTTAGGGATGTAGATATGCACATGAATTACCATCAATGAAATAAGAAATGGCAAAGGCTCTGTAAGAAGTGAAGAGTTCTGGTGCTTAACATGTGCAGCTGCTAAATGAAAGGGCGGTGGTTGGAGCCCATCGATCGCTTGCATGAGAAAGATGTGGCAGCCTGCTTCTGTAAAGAGAACAACCTTTACAGAAACCCCATGGGCAGTTCTAGCCTTCTGGCCTATCGGGTCACTGTGAATTGGAAAGGACTCTAGCAGTGGGATTTATATAGGCAGCGAGAAAATTTGCTTTGAGAGTTATTGTTAAGTGCCATCGAGTTGGTTCCGACTCATAGCGACCCTGTGTGGAGTTTCTAAGGAGTGGCTGGTGGGTTTGAACCACTGACCTGTGGTTCAAAACCCACCATGTGGTCCACTGCATTACCCTGAAGTGAAAATCCAAAGAAGTGAAAACAAGTGGTTTCTAATCCATGGCTAGTCACTTAGCCTCTATGAACCTTGGTTTTCAACTCTTTAGAATGGAGATAACAATATTGGCTTTATTGAACTCAGGAGTCCTTGGGTGGTACAAAGAGTTAACACACTTGGCTGCTAACTGAAAGGCTGGAAGTTCAAGGCCACCCAGAGGCACCTTGGGAGGAAGGCCTAGCAATCTACCTTCCAAAAGCCAGCCATTGAAACCCTATAGAACCCAGTTCTACTCTGACACACATGGAGTCACCGTAAATTGGGGTCAACTCAATAGCAACTGGTGATAGACTGGCTAGCAATGGAGCTCCTAGGGTTGTAGAGGTCAAATGTATATAAAAGATACTTTGATTGATGAACTTGACCTATACCTATGGCTGCAGTAGCTCAAAAGAGGGAACAAATCCTTATAGCAAGTATCATTCCCACCTCCTCCATACACAGAGAAGACAGGGATGGGCAACTTGGACATTGGCTACCCAAAATGGGGTGGTGGTGGTGGTGGTGGTGGTGGTGGCTACAAAGGCAAGAAGTGACTGGCTTACAAGTTTTCAAGAGGGAACCTAGATCCAGAGGGCGTGAAGGAAGGTAGAATCTCCACTGAGTAGTATCCAATCTGTCTAGGCAGGGCTGATGAAATGTAATGTGGATGGGTCTCTTGTGACACAATAGTGAATAATTGTTATCAGGACTGATTGTGAGGGTTGGAAATGTAAAGG